AAACAACAGTGATGATATGAATACTAAGATTATTACTGGTCAGTAATCAATAACAACATCTTCAAAAAATTGGTTGTCACTGAATGCCTGATTGCGAGGAATACGTATATACCATCTAGCACTGACTGTGGTATATACTGCAATGGGTAAGGTAACATAAGAAGAGACAATGCAATGAAAATATGCGAGATCAGGGTACTTTGTCGAGTTTCTGTCGTCTTCACAATTCTGAAAAGTGAAACAAAAACCCAAATGAACCTTCAAAAACAGGACACATGAAATACCAACGTCACCAAATCATTCAAGGGAGAAGTGTTTCCACAGCTAGTGTAGGTACAATTATTTATCGTAGTAAACGGAACACATTTACTCACGTGGTAACAATGTATCCCTGGACAACCCTCTCTTCAGAATCAGCCAAGTTCCTTACGTGCATCGGCGTGTGTGGCAATTTACCATGAACCATTGGCCACCCGCACAGCGATGACACAGAATTCAACATAACAACAACCACTAAATCCCAGTGGAAAGCAGTTCCCTTTTTCAATCTTAAAACAAAAAAATATTCACTGTGTAGAAGGTGTGTAATTGACAAAATGACTGTCAACAGTTAAATCTGCATTCCCATTTTGCAGATATGTGAGGTGAAGTCCCCTGTCAAGTATATACAAATTAAATTCTGAGATTGTGGACGAGTAATGTAATTCGAAATTAACTGCAGAATATATTTTCTAAACTAAGCTAGATTTGTGAACAATATACATACCCTGAGTTAAGGGGCTTTGATTGTCCTTGAAAAAATCAGTTTCATTGTAGGTATGTTTGTCTAAAACCTAAGACCTTCTAGTATTCTCAAAATGAGAACGGGATATTTATTTTTAATAAATAGTATTTTTAGTTAAAACAGCATAATTTTACCATTTGTTTGTACTTTACACTGGGAGTAATGTCTCACATATTTGCTAAGTAGAAATGCAACTTTAAAAGTTATCAAATCAAGATAATCTCGTCTATATTTGTACTTGCCCACTTTCGAATTCGTTGCAGGGTGCATTGAAGTTACGATACTTACTTATTTTCTGGTGCGCATGCGACTGATTCCGCGATACTGTGATCAACAAAGATGAGAAGAGAATGAAATAATCCCAAAATGGCCGCCAACAAAATGGCCATTCCATCCATGTTACTGATACTGAAATCAGGGACACGGAACACAGAACTTTCAGTGTAACTCCATGGTTCGACTGCAAATACAACGTTAGGGTGTGATTATTTTCATCTCACTCGCTCGACTAGAAGAGAGTTTTATTCAAATCTACGCTGTACTTTCATACTAGAACACGATTCTCACCTTCTAAATGACGGAAAAAGTACGAATGAACAAAAGACCACCATATAACAGTAATCGCCAGGGCCTGGTCTGCAAGAATCGCAACACGAACAGTTTTACCTAAGAATGGACTTTGAGAAAAATAAAATTGTATATCGTTATCATTGGGCTGCTATTTCATTAGTGCTGGCATAATACAGTACTAAATTGAAAATCATAAATATTCAAAGTCGATTGCAATGCAAACAGTATATAACTTTTATATATCAGAGACATATGTGCGTTTTTTGTGGTTCAGTCGATGCTGGTTGCTTCACCAAACAGGTTTGCATAGAAAGTGATATTTTACCTGTTTCTAAAGTAGTGTAAAAATAATCCTAGCGTTGGTACAGCAATCACCATGAACAGAAACAATATTGACTCTACTGGTTTGCATTCTGGACAGTCGATCGGTAGTGATGTAAAATTGTGTTCACCATTACGCACTGAGCCGGGAGTGGCGTTGTAAATCGTACAAGGTTCATCCAATGTCCCATCCCACAAACAGTTGTAATTTTCTTCGAAATCTGAAAATGTTATTAAATGATATTGTGTGACCCAGTATTGCTTAGTCAATATAAGTCATCTTGCTATGCTTAATAACTATCATTATTGAGATTGCTCATTTGCTTGCCCTTTATACCTTAATTAACATAATTTATAATTAATTAGCTAAATTGTCTGGATATAATTTGTTCGCAAAATGACCGCTGAGATCTCGTAGAAAGTTAGAACCACGATACTTGATTTTGCCCCTCTCCCAATAGACTGTGTTTAAATGGATCAGCGGAGATGATTTGAGAACCAAGAACAATATTTGAGTACCAAAACTGACCACGTGACTGTCTCGCCCTTAATGTCTATTTGCATATAAGGTTTAAATGCCGCATTTTCTAAAAATTGTAATCGATCGCTACTTACTGTATACTGTGTCCATTATTGCATCCTTCAAGAAAGATGCCGATATAAAGAGAGCAAACACTTCATCTACCATTCTGGTGGAATATTTCATATATTTACAGAGGTCGAATAGTGCATATATAAAAACAAGACCGCAGCTGAACCAACCGACGCATGCGTAGAAACACAAGAAATCATAACCATTTTCTATGGAAATGTCTGATATCACTGAATGGGTAGAAATAAATAACGAGTATGTGAAAATAGTTTCCATAAGCGACTGTAATTATTCTGTACTAGAGACTATTTTATCTCAATTAAACAATAAAAATGGAACGTACACTTTGCATATATAGCCAGGGGTGCTGATGTCAGAAGAATTGTCATGCATTGCCCTCCAATTAAGGCGAACGTTAGACCAGCTATTGCCAGACTGACCATTGATTCCTTCACACCTGTAACACAGAAGAAGTATGAGATTTGTTAGTCATCAATAATATGATTTTCTCACTTTGAGTTTGTGACGTGGTAGACAAATAAACATTCCACATGTCAAAATAATATATGCATAGCGCATGCCACACCCCTCTATGTCCAAAAATCCCTGGTGTAACGCATGCTAACCACCTAATCAGGACAATCGACACGTAACCACGATGCCAACGCTACCCTTGCATAAATATTTCTACCCGCCATGATGGCGTAACATCCCATGCTTAATGTATGTTAATACATCATTATTTATTCATTCATTTGTTTCTGATTGAACTGATCTGATTGAAAAGACTTACCGAAAGCACCCTGGGTGTTTTTGTCATTCAATGCACCAATAGCTATAGTCACCAATAAACACGAGAAATACAAAAATATCACAGTTGTTATAAGCTTTGATATTTCTGTCCAGTTCCGAAAACCTGAAGCAAATAATATCATAATATAAATATGGCATTAAACAATAGCACTCACACTATTTCCAAGGTTTTCACAGTAGAATGTAATATAGATTTAGTTTAGTCTATTTGTAGAGAAAGTTTTAATGAATGTTTGCATACAGTTTACGCTAATGGTGAATTGTCCCACGTGAATGTACAATCATTGCCGGGGTTGACCAAGAAAATGTGGTAAGAACGTTATGTAAATTGAGTATGTCTGGACTTTTCTAATTTGCATTGAGTGATAATTACGTTCATATGTGTTTTGGGTGTGACCATTCACAGAGGCACTGGGTCAAAGTACCGATTTTCAATGTTTACTGAGTGACAGTAACTATATATAGTGTGTACTGGGTGAAAGTGTTCAATTCTTGTGCGCACTGAGTCAAGAAGGTCGGCGAGGGGTCACATGATTTTCGTAAGCTGTAATCAATTGTTTTTATTTTCGTAATAATGCAACTTAAATAAATAAAAAACGTAAATTCGTAGACATGGGCAAGGTGTAAAATGTAATCAGCTATTTTATTCGTCCGTAATTTGTACAAAGATATTATTTTTGTAAGCGTATAAAGCATTTTCCAAATTAAATGTCATAATTCGTACGCAATTTCCAATTTTGATTTTCAAACACAAATTATCAAAAATATTATAAAAATATAAAATGTAATTAGGAATTTGCTTTATCTCTTAAAGTGTAAATACCTATTTTTTACTGTAAATGGAACTTTCATTTTAGTTCCTGTAAAAACGTAAAATGCCGTTTTATTTCCTGTAACCTGTACCAGCTATCCCTCTTCCCCCCCCCCCAGTGTCCACTCATAGTGTTTACAAGGAGAAATTATACATTTGCCGTGTCTACTGATGGTAAGTAGTAAATAATAAGATTCACGAGTGAAAATGTTTATTCATGGTGTCCATTGCGTAAACGTTGTAATACAGAGTTTTGAATGAGTGAAAGTGTCCATTAATATCTGTGTGCATGTTTCGCTACTGATATGTACAATGTGTGCTATTTCACAAGTCTTGTCATTTGGATTCGTATCTTGTGATAAGGCTTGTCGTTTGTAAACTTACAGGGGCGGATACAGGTTTTTTTTCACGGGGGGGGGGGGTCCAAACTTTAAAACTGCCAGACTAAGTTAATGATTTTTTTTATATTATACAAAAACAAATTGAATACATTTTTCAACGGGGGGTCCGGACCCCAAGAACTCCCCTCCCCCCTCTAGATCCGCCACTGACTTACCATCTATGTAATCACTAACGTAATGGGGAAGTCTTCGCTTGATATCACCACGGATACCTCTTGCAATACCACAACCAGGTCCCTGCATGCATGAAAGTAGATCATTAACAATATAATCCTCACTTGACGGTCATTACAGCCTATTTAGCCGATCAATGTTAGTACATGAATTAATATTGGTATTGTTTGTTGTTTCTTTGTTTTAAGTCTGTAAATATATGCATAATGTAAATGCTGTGTGAAAATTAACAATACTCTCAAAATATGATAATAATAATTAATGCGTAAATTGAGGGAATCGTGGGATACTTACCGGATCTGCCTCTAAGAAAGGACTGGTGTCGCGACCTTCCATACTTTCATGACGAATTAGAACATTACGTATTGTTTTGTGATCTACCAAATCACTGTATCGTTCATCTATTATCTGCAGTAAGAAAAGCATTGTATTATTATCAGTACTGCAGGCAGATGCCTGAGCTGGTTCTAGTACTGTTAGAATTCACCTCTGCATTACATCCACGATAAATAAATAAATAAATAAATAAATAAATAAATAAATAAATAAATAAATAAATAAATAAATAAATAAATAAATAAATAAATAAATAAATAAAGAAAGAAAGAAAGAAAGAAAGAAAGAAAGAAAGAAAGAAAGAAAGAAAGAAAGAAAGAAAGAAAGAAAGAAAGAAAGAAAGAAAGAAAGAAAGAAAGAAAGAAAGAAAGAAACATTTGACTGTTTTGAATAGTCGCATAAAACAACGATTACCAACTTCATCTCTACTATATATAAAACAATACATAGCTATAAAAAGTGCGTAATGAACGCGGACTTACAGTGACTAGATGGACATGCGCAAGTCGAATCTCTTACGTCAACAACAACACGCCATCACTCTACATTTCTGAATGAATATTTGAACATTAATGAATGAGAAAGTGATAAAGGGAGAAGGAATGGCAATCTTACCATTTTGAACTGTTTAACAGATTTTGCTTCATGCAGATCCCACCTGAACTGTAGATCGCTAAATAGGGTGGCAAATGTCAATGACGTCTCCTTTGCACTTTTTGTCATTTTCTGTAACAAATAAAACGTTATTGTATTGATATGTACATTTCGCTGTGGGCTTCAACATTAATTCAAAATCGAATGGTTTGTTGTGTAAAAAACAGTAGCGTTCAAATGAATGGGTCTACAAATACGCCGAACAAACGTTCTGGGCGTGGACTGTTCCAGTTGTACTCAAATTTAGGACCGTGATAAAACACATTGGGATAAAGACGCACATTGAGTTTTCTGTGATTCGATGAGACATTTTTGTTTATGTAATACATCCCTTCCAATTTAATGGTTGTTAATGATCTACCTACATTCCACGGAATAAAGCTAGTATAATCGAAATGCATACAACTGAAATATGTTTTTATTATTTGATAACAGTACGTAGTAATACCTCTCTTGTTGGCGCCAAAACCAATATAACAAACTGTATTTCTGAGGCGCCAGGTCCTAGATTGACTGGATGTTTTAGTCTTGATATAGCATATGAATGTCTCTCCAAATTGCTAAAACTTGAGCTACAACAGTAGAAGAAAAACAACATAATTACCACTTGACTCAAGCGAGTTATGAATATACTGGATGACTGACCTAACTGACTCCCTCCATCCCTTCCAAACTGGTGGGTTGACTCAATTGAGTAATATATCTATACTGGTCGTTTGACTCAATTGAGTAATATCTATACTGTCGTTTGACTCAATTGAGTATTGTCTATAACTGGTCGTTTGACTCAATTGAGTAATGTCTATAACTGGTCGTTTGACTCAATTGAGTAGTGTCTATACTGTCGTTTGACTCAATTGATTAATGTCTATAACTGGTCGGTTGACTTAATTGATTAGTGTCTATACTGGTCGGTTGACTCAATTGAGTAGTGTCTATACTGGTCGTACGACTCAATTGAATAATGTCTATATTGTCGTTTGACTCAATTGAGTAGTGTCTATACTGGTCGGTTGACTCAATTGAGTAGTGTCTATACTGGTCGGTTGACTCAATTGAGTTGTGTCTATACTGGTCGTATGACTCAATTGAATAATGTCTAAATTGTCGGTTGACTCAATTGAGCAGTGTCTATGCTGGTCGGTTGACTCAATTTAGTGATGTCTATATGTCGGTTGACTCTATCGAGTAATAAAGTCTATAGCGAATGGTGGCTCAAGCGAGTAATATCTTTACTGGGTGGTGGCTCAATCGATTAAAGTATATACTGATCGGTTGATTCAATTGAGAAATATTTATATTGGGTGTCTGAACCAATCAACGGAAACATATATATTTTTGTCCTTTACTCGAATGAGCTTGTCTGGGGATGACGTAAATGGTCAAGGAAAAATCTATTGGAATCTCCCATATTGTTTTACCGGTAGTCAGTGGTAGCCCGGCAATGAAAATGAGTTTTTGGAGGAATTTAATACTAGTATAATCTAAATAATAAACAACAAAACACAGTTATCAATATGTTCGACATTGCGTTCACTCCTCAATATCGCTATGACGTCATATCAGCGTATCGTCACTAGATGGCGCGATTTATATGCATGGAGGTACTGTAAAGCCCGATCCTGATTTCAATCGGGAAGTCAATGCAGCAATGATTTTCGATTACGTCATCCTGAAACTATAGGTGAATGAAAATTGACTGACTGAACGATATTTATATTTGCACGGTGGTACTCCCATCGTGCATTTCATCTACGCAACTTCCTGTTTTTAAAGACAAACGGAAATGACATAAATGGTACTGAAATACGAACGATGCACTGCTAATAAAATAAAATAAAATACTGTACACTTGATTATATATCGCCACAACACATGAATCAACATCATTATAAAAGTAACTTGCAGTGCTTTTTTTAATCAGAATACGTACAACATGCATAGCCAGGTTTCCTCCCAATATGTATTTCCTCCATGTACAACACTGCCTTGTATGACATCAGTTGGCATTGTACCTGTAAGCACATATCTGTTAGTGAGTCGTGATGTATAGAGTATAGAGATGTATAGAGTAGAAAATAGTGAACACTATGTCATAAAAGAATACATACTAGATGTGAAACTACGCTAAAACCGTACAAAAAATGTCGTGTATACAAATAATCAGCCGTGTCATACACATAATATGACGTCATATTATGATGAATCCCTACAAGGTATGTAGAGCAAACCAATAATGAAACTCGTCACGTGCCGAGATTTGCTACCTGAACGCTCGGCACGGACCAATCACGCCCTCGGCGGTGGACTTGGTGAATTAACAGATCGACGAGTGACGACGTGATTTCGGCACGAGCCGAGTGAGTTCTGATGTGTGTCCAGAATAACGTGAACGCAACTGCTGTAATTTCTTTCCAAACATGAAAGATCGTGTGAACGTAGCTAATGTCAACTAGATGTGACGTCACACTATGATAATACTATACAAATAATGCACTCCGTTTTATATACGTTGACTTATTGGCACGTAGATGTGACGTCACATTACGATGATCGTTCACACAATCTGTGATAGGTGCTCGTCTATATTTTCTGCAATGCATGATGGTATTCCATACCCCACAAATATAAAGAAATTAACATAACTTACATATAGGGTCCGCGAACAATTTTCGTAAACAGTCACTCACTGCCACCCCGCTATTTTCAGGCAACATTTGGTTGACCATATTTTTAACAATACCGCATAAATTTGTTTCATGTAAGTCCAAAAATATTTCTGCTTCATGCAGTAAGTTCTTGATGTCTTGTCCTGCACGCCGCTCTTTGCTGAAGTCTTTTGTTCTCATTTTCTATTTTAAAAAAATACGGTATAAGTTCAACAATGGAAACGTGTACACGCTGTATTCTTGATGGATACACTCAAAATTACATAATGATCAAAATCAAACACTAGATAAATCAATAACACTATAAATCACGGAAGTACAGACAATGTATGTACTGGGTGTATTTTAGGACTTTGACACAGGTATTATAAATAACATTTACAGTACCTGCCATAAAAAATGCATATGCATAGTGTAGTTGCCATCACTTTAATCACTCATGCAATTGTTGCGTTAAGAGGTGAGAAGAGTGTAGTAAATAATTTAACAATTTAGGTTATAGGGTTAATTACTATACTAGGATTAGTTTGAGATAAAAATGGCAAGGGTGTACTAACATCGCTCTGCACACAAGTCGACCCCTGTTGATTGTTTATGTTGGAATTGGGATTGGAGGGTTTAGTTAATATCCCTAGGTATACTATCAGAGGTTAAATTCTTTCTCTCGGGGTTTTCCACACTTGTCAGGGGGGAATCTTGTCTCGTCTCTCTATCTCGTCCCCTTGAGGTATGGGATCGGGAAAGTCACTTAAACTTTACAGTCAAATAAGACACACACAACGAAATACGTTTCAACTCTTGTCTTAGTCGGTCAATCGAGCACTCTATAAGACACGGCGCCCTGGGGGAAAAAATCCCCAAGACTATCCAAGGCTGACCCAAGACTCTCTTAGACTGCGTCAACATTCGCCCCAAGGCTCTCCAGGACTGCTCTCGACTGCGTCCATCGTGCTGTGCTCCCCAAGACCAACTCAAACTCTCTTTATTCATTTTCAAAACTCTAACCAATTACAAAGCAGTAAAAAGACTCTAGGGCGTAACCTTCAATCATAAAGCCAATCACACTAAGTACTGAATACGTCATATCTTTTGATTAATCGTTCACTACATTAATAACTATGGATACCAACTGTCAGAATCGCGACAGTTATCTGGTAATTAGTTCCAAATCACTGAGCCAAGTTCCGTCCAAAACTTCAAATAGGCCTAAACGATGACAGACATAACACAGCATTTCGCTAATAATCATCTAATTAAGTCGGTCAACAGATACGCAAAAACAAATTCATGACAATACCACCATGCCAGGAGTAAGTTGGGACGAACAACTATGTCGTGTTTAGGTTGATAGAGATGAGGAAAATGTACTTATTGCTCAGCAAGCAGGTAAGTCCCTTTTTAACGGGCATTAAATAATTCATGTCTACTTCAGTGAACTTTTTTCACCAATTTTTTGTTCTGATTGAACTCTTGATTGATTTGAGTTGGGATTGGAATTAGAGATTTTAGTTCGGGTAGATGTGAGCTACCATGCAGGAAATGGGTTGAGGTGAAGGTGAGAATAGTGTACAAAACATCGCCAAGCATTAATGTGGATCGTCTTGATTGGTTTGGCTTGGAAATGGGATTGGAGGAATTAGTTATTATAATTTGGAATAAAGATGAACCACCACGTCGGAAGTAAGTTGTGACGGAGATGGGACGAGTGTACTTGACATTGCTAGAACACACAGGAAGCCCCCTTGATTGATTTTGGTTTGGACGGGGATTTAGTTGATATCACTTATGGCAGCGGGGAACCACCATGCAGAAAGTACGTTGAGATTGGGATAAGAAGAATTTACCTAACATCGATTGGTACACAGTTAGGCTCCCTTCAGTTGTGATTGGTATTAGCGGATTTAGTTTATATTACTTGGAACAGATGGAATGCTGGGAATAGATTGGTGTGTAAATGAGAAGGACGAACCTAACATCGCTCGACATATGATTATAAAGTTATTATCGCGTGTGTTAGAGGCGAGCCACATTATCATTAGCTAAAGAAAAAAAAGCATAAGTATTAATTGATGTAAAATACTCATTGTGTATCTTCATTGTCTAAATTGTATTCCATAGTGGCTTTACCTAGTTTCCCTGGTGCCTGTACACAACATTTTTGTCACACCTTCAAATTTTGAAATGATGCAATCCTTATCACACAGTATATTATAGCTACAAAGAACATAATTATGACATTAAAGTTACATTATAACTGTGTATACAGTTACCTGTTTATGTGTGTATACCAGCGTCGATCTTTTCATTACTCTCATGCCGTGTACGAATTCTCTCACGATATCCCATCCTCCTACAAATAAATAATTGAACGAGTAAATCATCATATTCGTCACACACGTCATCACGTGGCTCCCACGTGACATTCAGTGTGCGTAAAATACATGGTCTGTTTAGCACGACGTCCGAACACCTGTTTTGTGGGACTAGGGCCAATAGCACATCAATACATGTAAACATTCTGACATTCGTGACCTAAACGTCAAATTTAACAAACAGAGGTGAGCTTGAACAAATAGTATACGAGTAATAATTTGAAAATAGACAGCAAGCATAATAGGTCCCGCGCCTATAATAGAGATGCCTCCTCAGAACAAATAAAGAATAGATTTACAATTGATAAGCTATTATTTACAATTACTAATACTTCTCCTGCTCTTATTTATTTTGATTTTCCAGTTGCTAATATGATTTGTCAACTCAAACAATGCCAACTGTCATGTTAATACACGATGAGCTAAGGATTCCAACACAATATTGTTGTAGTCTGTTGACCCGCACTGGTAGGAGTTTGTCGTCGTTCTTGGTTACTCTGGAGTAGATCACTGACTTTTCTACTGTTATACTAAGATTAATGTGTTTCTGCTGTCATTCAATCTGTCGTATTGTTTGGAATTGTGTTTTTAACTCGTTTTGCTGATTTGTTCATTAGCGTGTTTAAATACATCGTTGTTTTTAAGTGTTGCATTTACAGAACAGTATTCGTTGGATGCAAAAATCAAAACTAATACGCATGCGTTCAACTGTTAGCGTACGTACTGTGACGACTAGGACGATCATAGACAATATGACCACCATTATTATTAGTAATATTAACATAATAGTAATAATTTAAAATGAGTTTACCATCAGACAGATTCTGAGAACATGGTAGAATATTGGATTATTGGAACGAGTGAAGGTTACCGAAAATGAAGGAGTTTGACGAATAAGAATACGTGAACGAAATGAAGAATTTACAATACTTGTGGTATTGGTGGTAAAGACAAAGGGAATAGGGAGGCTAGAGTTGAATAATGTCAGTGACGTACATACTAGTTGGGGATTTGGGGGTCTCGCTGGGATCTCGCGAGAATACGTGAAGGGTGTCTCTGAAAGTACCGGAGAAATGTCATATTTCGTGCTATAGAACTTAGTACTACAGAGGTATGGCGTTATTAAACTGTACTTTCTTATCTGTAGATGACTGATATACAGCATAATTCACACAATTTGTTTCTGAACCCAGAGACAAAATAAAGCGTGTACTTAGAGTCAGTCTGTGTAATGCTCTCGTCAAGTGTTTTTTAAGTACTAGTACAATCACGTGACTCGCGTGATAATATATTACAGCGATTCATTACAAGTGCAATAAATTGTGCTCTATGGAGATGCTTATGTTGACCATTTGACCATGTTGCCAGCATTGAAAATCTACCGTAATAGTGTTTCAAAACCAATTTTGACCGCCTCATTTTCACGGTCGAGCCGATCTTTTGCACTTACACACACACAAACCCCTAATTTTAAGTTTTCGGCCATGTTTAGCCGAATCCCATTCAAAATCCCTCTGCTTTACATCCTGTAATCTAAACATGCACGACACCAATCTGGTGCCCGTATTCTGGATGTGACATCATCAAAGTGAATATTCACATGATACCCACCTTTTCTTAGCATTTGCGCTGATTTTCAGTTGAAACTGAAGAAGTCATCGAAGCCCGCCATGACTGACACGACGTTGGACGACACGAACCAAGGCCCAACATAAATTAGCAGTATTGTATCGAAAATGATACAGACTCATTTAAGCTATTATAAAACATATTTCATGAGTTGCGTTCACGCACGGCTCCATGGTACGGGCTAAAAGGTCAAAAACGTTAGCCTGTGCTAAGAATGCGCGAATGCTTAGAAACGTCAAGTACGGATTAAATCCGTTTTTGAGACCCAGTCCAGATCCTTAGCACGGTCTAACGTGTGTGTTTGAACGCGTCTCTCTTCTACGCCCAAAACATCGTTACATTCAATTGCATTTAATTAAATTATATTCATAACAATTCATTTTGGTATGTCATTTCCGACATAAAAATCAACGCGACATATCTAGGGTAATTTTTTCAACAACAAAAAAATAACTGGCGATGAGACTCTACTACTTCCTGTTATTCTGCAAACTGCATTTTCTGAATTGCTTTATAACCGTAGAACTAGCATGAATACTTTCCTGGTTACTGTATTGAGTATACATAGTTAAAATGACTAAAGGAGCATATATTCTTGACAAGTTTAGGAGTTCCTTGGCCCGTGCTAACCGTTGTTTCCTCTCATGCGTGAACAAAATGGGTCTATCTGACATGAAAACATGTACGATTAGCTTAATCCTAGCCCGTCATGGTGTAGTCTGATCACGACTATGGAAAACCAATACAGTATATGACCTAGGTTAACATCACGAATTGGTTTAATCAATTTTTAAGCAACTTTGTGTTGTAGTAGCAGAAAATATGTACTCACGTGTTTTCTTGCCATCCCCTCCCTGTTTTCTTGATTGGAGTTTGTTGGCGTACAACGCTATGTCGGCTAAAGATGAAGCCCTCCCACTAAATGGCCGGTCACTATCCTCCGACACACTGATTCTGGTAGCATCTTTTTTGGTGTTATTTTCCTGGTATAGTCTATCTGCAGGTGATTCGGAAGATTTTGTCGATGTCTTTGAGTTAGTGTAATCCAAAGGAATGATTTCAGCGTCAGTATTGAATCCTTTATTGTCACATCCATTGCTCATCTTGAGTATGGACAATGTCGATCAGTAGTTAAGTATTCCAGACCGGCGATAACTAACAGGCAGTTGAATAGTTTGTAGCTTACAGTTCTTCAACACAAAATGAAAGATACAAAATGTTATGTTTCTTATTCAACACAATGCCTATACTTATATGAGTCTAATGATTGGTCAGTATCAATCGTCTGATCGCAAGATATACGAGAAAATAGGACCCCTCATATATCATGAATCGAACAAGTACTAGTAAATTAATTACAATAAAATTGATGTTAACTGGGTTAGTAGATTACGACATCAAGGCCAATGATAAATGTTAGTGATAACACGAGAATACGAACGGGCGATAAGAGAGGTGACACTCGCACAAAGAGATAATGCTTATCAGCTAGCTAACTAGTGTGTTACAATTCTAGGCCAAGAAAAAAAAGTTTCTAGTGAATTGTTTTCTAAATCAATGCGCGGTTTTATAATAAAACATATACTTTTATTTTCCATGATTTTTTTTTCTTTTAAATATAATATAAAACTGCATCGCACATATTTTTAACTGGCAAGTGAGATTACCAAAAAAATGTGAATATTTGGGGGAGGTATTGTGAACAATATTCAATATTTTTTTGTGTGTATCATGATAGAACAGTGGGTGGTTGTTATGAAGTCAGTGTTACCAACTGTAATAATCTGTGTAGGATCCAAGGCGGATACGAGTGACTGCTTCTCGGATCATCAATGCAGGCACCAAATGGCAATTCATCTTGCCCAGAAATCATGTGTCAATTTGATTGAGTTGACTTTTGTCCTATAATTACTAGACTATAACGAGTTGGACTGAAGTCTGTTTCGTCGTCATCTAACAGCATAGATAATAATTAATAGCGAATGACAGGGCAGTCGACCGGAATAGGGCACCTGATTTCTGGGCAAGGCGAGGTTCCTGCAGTGGCGGTTCGAAAAACAACTATAGCCAAATTGTACACTAACACATATACAGTGACTTGTCATGTGATTATAAATTTACTGAATATCCCAGCTACAACTACTCACTGCAATGTTGGGTGCATGACACGAGGGAAAAATTAAATTGTAGTGTAATACCTATATATCTTTACGACACTAAAGATAACTAATTTTGCGACACAGTGAAAAGAAAATTGCGACGCATTGATTATATCTCTTTGCGACACGGTGAATATATCCATGTACGACACGCTGGGTACAACATACCAGTGTAACAACTATTTTCAGGCCGTATTTTATAGATTGTCTTATCGTGATTGTGATATGGCATGTTTGTCCGCTGTAACCCTATTCTGTCAGTCGTCCAATTTTATAGAAAGATAATTATAATTTCAAAAGAATGGTCTAATTTAACCCACAGTCGAATTTGCAATGATTGGTTTATATACTAGTAGATCGTATTTTTAAGACGGAGATTGTATTTCCCTCCTGTCCATTTCTATCTCAACTCAATGGAGAGCGTAAACCTCGTAGCCTCGGGCGATGGGCACAGTGAACAAATAGATAAACAACATCCACAAACTGCCAGGCAAGTGTGATATTTCCCCCTGACCCTCAGAGCAAAACCAATGTAGAGTTCACTTACGTTAGCTGGTTATGTTAAACTGCCTATTTCCATATAACGACGATGTCAATAGCAGCACTGCGCGGAAAGCTGGGCATAGAACGTACTATTTGATAGAAAGACCGAGAGACTTCCTTCCCGTGGGCACGATTTTCAAGTGTCGGGCACTTTTATTACTGTCCTACAATACAACTATCGGTCACGTGAACGAGCGGCGTGAAAGATCGCTGACAGATTTATTTTTCACGTGTTAATGATTCGCCAGGTGACCGACATGATAACAGGGTACTGTCATCCTCACCCATCGTACCACGACCTGAATAACGTTATCCAATTAATTATAGGGCGGCAGTCGTCGCGCTGCGCTCGTGTGACATTTGTGTTGATAAACATTGATTTTCCCACAATCCAATGCGCTTTTCTAATGGAAATCACAAGTATGAGTGGTTCGCAGCTCTGTCCATAGGGCAGACGAGATTCAATCTGTAATTGTACTGAACGTATTGTTATCACAGAGAAAATGATCTACAGCAACACACAGGTGAAGAACGAACCCCGTGGCATATAACAATATTTCGGGTTTTAATAATACTAATATTAATTGCGAAACTCCCACACCAGAAAAAAATGACGTCAGAGAAAACGTTCTTCACGATTAATTGATTGACGAGATATCAGAGTGACGCCAAGTTGCTAAGATATCAATCAATATACATGTATGTTGAGTTGTGCATGTCATGTAAACACGACAAATTGTTATATAGTCTCAGATGGTCGAATAGATAGTACGCTTCAGGGGTGACCGACTAGGTTCGTTAAATCCTACTAATAAATGCTTGGTTAGCTAAACATTGTTTACAGTGGTGATACTTTTGGCACAACTAAGGCATTCCCTTCATCTTTATAAATAATTATAAACTTTAATGGCAGTTGAATCAAATCAGCCAATAAACGAGCACAGTGCACAATGACATCATTTGAAAACGTCCCAATTGGCCAATAGAAGCCTCTCATATCATTTTGAATTTAAAATTTATAAATATTTATGAAGATGAAGAGAATGGCCTTGTTGTGCCGAGAGTACGTGAAGGTCAGAAATCTGTTCATTAGTTTATATAAAACATATTTATACAAATCTTTGAATACCGATAATAAGTTTTCATTCAAGTTCAAATTCAACTATTTAATAATTGGCTCAAGAGTTCCATATAACGCGAACACTCCTTCAAGTGACTTCAGGTGACAACTTTGACTTATTTTAAAAAACGAAAGGCTCCAATGACGCCTCTTGTGTCACGGGGTGAAATTCTCTTCTCTCTGGGTTCTCCACACTTGTCAGGGGGGAATCTCGTCTCGTCTCTCTATCTCGTCCCCTTGAGGTACGGGATCGGGAAAGTCACTTATACTTTACAGTCAAATAAGGCACACACAACGAAATACGTTTCAGCTCTCGTCTTAGTCGGTCAATCGAGCACTCTATCAGACACAGCGCCCTGGGGAAAAATCCCCAAGACTCTCTTAGACTGCGTCAAGGCTCGCCCCAAGGCTCTCCAGGACTCTCGACTCTCTAGGACTGCGTCTGTCGTGGAGTATTCGCCAAGACCAACTCAAACTCTCTTTATTCATTTTCAAAACTCTAACCAATTACAAAGCAGTAAAAAGACTCTAGGCGTAACCTTCAATCATAAAGCCAATCACACTAAGTACTGAATACGTCATATCTTTTGATTAATCGTTCACTACATTAATAACTACAGATGTCAGAATAGCGACGGTATCTTGTAATTAGTTCCAAACCACTGAGCCAAGTTCCGTCCAAAACTTCAAATAGGCCTACACGATGACAGACATAACACAGCAATTCGCTAATAATCAGCTAATTAAGTCGGTCAACAGATACGCAAAAACAAATTCATGACACTTGAGTGAACGCTACAGCCAAGCACATCGAGTAATCGACGCTCATATGACCGGTCTTTGAACACTTGCTAAAGCCACCGGGGATGCGAAACCTTCCGCTGTTTCTATAACCAGACGGAAACGTAGAAAGTGACTACGAGAACGTATTGTGATATTATGGAAACAATTTATTTTATTTAAAACAAACGCAATTCTATTTTGTGAATTCATATTCCATCCACTTATGTGTGTAAATTACATGTTATAGTGTGTTTTTAGAATGTGTCGGGAGTTTGTTCTAAACAAACACAAATTGTATTATCGTTATTCTGACCATAGACCTTAGAAAACTAAAAGTAAGGTCTATGTTCTGACTTAGTTTCTGCTGTTCTAAAGATTGAATTATGTATGACATTAATATTTCACCGACTAAACAATTTCACTAAAATAGGTGATTTAAAAACAAAAAAGTAAAAAGGAAGCATCAAGTTCCGTGAATAAACACTAGTGTAAAGAGCGCTATTTTTTGCCAAAATCGGCTAGTAAGGCGTCATATGACACAGGTCTGTGCCACCTGGGTCTGTGCTGTGACAGCGCTTACTGCGACAACAAAGCGATGAGTCCCATATTGAACAAGACGCGGCGCGTCGACCACCGCCGCTTCAAAATATTGAAGGGCGGTAGTCGTCGCGCCGCGCATGTGCGACATTTGTGTTGATAAACATTGATCTTCGCACAAGCCACTGCGATTTTCTAATGAAATCACAAGTACGAGTTTTGCCCTGGGCGCCACTTGCACTAATTACCGCCGGCGACTCCTTCGACACCTTCCAATCACCTAAAAATACCAAATTGAAGCTTGGTAACCTTTTGGTTTGTACTCGTTGGTGTGCGCAACAGTCAACATCGCCATCGTTGTTAATATGACACCCATATCTGGCGCGTGCGTGGCGCGACGACCACCGCCCTTTAATGAAGCTAGAACCACAGTCCGTTGTAGAGGGACTGTGCTAGAACAGAGGTCAGAAATCTAGCAGTGGAGAAGTCTGGATTGCAAAGGTCAAACGAATAGGGAACATCAGTAGATTTATGAACAGGTGGTCACTCTGTGCTTGATATACTAGTTTACGCTGCATGTGATTGAATGATAATTAGCTGGAGACTAAGGCATGGGTTAGTATTATCAAGCATTCTAGGGGGAGTTGACCCACTCTATACTACGAACAGCGTCAGTAAGTAGGTACATATGAGGCCACTTATTACTCGAGTGGAGAACTCAGAAATAATGGCAATATAGATTATAGATTCATGTCATACATGTGTAAGAATGAATGGATAATGTCAATGGGTTCGTGTTCCATATAAATATTGGAGATAATATAGTTCTGTTGTGGAATGGACTCGTTAATGTCAGATAGTCATCTGATGGGCGATAGCAAATGACCCGTTAAGGTAGACTATATAGATAATATATGCAATATGAAATATATTTCTTTTATAAGTAGATATATAATAAATTACCATACAATATATATTTTTTTCCATATTAACAATGACAGGTAAGTATAACTAAATACGAAATGAAAATAGCAGTTGATACGGAAGCGGTGATTATTTTATTGCGGGATCGTTCGGATCATTATTGTGAATACTTCGAGGATAATTATTTCGGTGATAGCAGCTCATTCACTGCAATAACTTCCACGACACAGCAAATTCAGTCAAATGCTAGCTCTGATCAGAAACAGGAGCCGAAGCCACAAGCGCACCCGTCGCTAAACCCTCGCCATTTATTCATCTCTTTGTGAAAGCATATATATGTGATATACTAGTACTCTAGCAGACTCTGGCATAACCCCAGCCCTATAAAACACACTAGCCAATGTTATAGCCAATGATATTTCTGTTGGCATTATTAATATTACATGATGTCACCCCAAAAGATATATGACCAAGTTGTTAAGTACATCTTACAACTTTTCGCTTACTGAAAAATTACACTGTCTTTGGGTTTCAATTAAAGCGGGGGGTCGTTACCTGCGATGATAACACAGGCTAAAAACGTAAAGGCTCATGGGTAGACTTTGTTTGTAAACAATGACACGCTATGGGCATCTGACGCATGCAAATCTCGCAGTACTAAGCCGCCCAATTATATTGAGTTTACTGTAGTTATCAATGGCTCAAACTACCGTTTAGAAACAATTTGATGACAGGGCGTATGTCAAACAACGCCGTCAGTCTTGCGGGAGTCTTGGCTTGCCTTGCCGGGCTCTCCACAGGGCGACTGAAGCCAGAAGTTGACGCGTATACTACCTGTGTGTGTGTCTTTGTTCAGTGAAAAAGTGGCGAATTCCCCGAACCTGGTACCTCAGATGATTGGTTTAATAATACGATAATTAACCGCACGACATTCCTCCAAAGTCAGCAGTCAGGAAACAACCCCTGAAATGCCTTACTTGTACAACCTATGTTTACATCAATATCTGTATTATATTCATGAGCACCCAGTAGTGAAACAAATTACGTATAAATGATTGTTTCAGCACGCAAAAACAAAGATGCTGGGAAATGTTGTTACTCATTTTTGGCACACGTTTTTCGACAAACGTCGTCTCATAGTTTTGTTGTGCTTTCAGATTGTTTTTGGTGTTTTCCCCCAAGCCAACGGTTGTCAGGCAGTTACTAGTCGCGTCACGTGATTTCCTGTTCCGGTCCGTCTGGAAGAATTGTTTTGTTCTTTATCTGTTCGACACGGATTGTTTATGTTTAAAACTTATGTTTGAACTATCTATATAAGATGACAAATCAGTAAATAGTCGGCCTTTTTCCATTTACTCATCGAATTTTAGGATACCATTATTAAGTAGTAAATGCAATAACAGAGTAATTTGTGGCTATAAAAAGGAAAAGAAAAACATCAAAGTCTGTTCTAGATGTAGAGGTGTTAAACCTTGAGTTTGTTTATGTTTGATCTTAATGTAGCACACTTGTAATTAAACAAACCGTGGCTTAGTCTAGCCTGGATTTTACACGCCAAGCGTCGTAAAATTGTTTAGATTTTGTCTTGTAATTCATGGTAGATAATAAAATTTAACTCAATTTCTCTTTTTAGAAATCCGTGAATATATCCCCTTGCTTATAGATATACAACATTCTGTGTTGGTTCAAAAAGTAAGCTGTTAGAAAAGTTGAAGTGGCTTGACACGTGGCAAGCTTCGAATGATGACATCACTCACCCTTTGTTGAGATCAAATCAGCAGAAAAGGATTTCGTTGGCTAGAGAAGGGAGATTTGGTAACCATGAGCACAGTCCCTCTATCTCATTACAGCTCCCTGCTCTATCATAGATTAGATCACGGTTACTAAAAAGATCTTTTTAGTAACCGTGATTAGATAGAGATAGAGAGACTGTGTCATAAGACTCTTTCAGTCACTGCCGTGTTACTGTTTGTGTAACATTAATAATCTTTTGAAATTGATTGTTGATATTACAAGTAGTATTGTCACTACTGTTTTGTAACATACGTTTAATTTGTAAAAACATGTTTCGTGTCTGTAAACCTTTCACGATGTGTTTATAAATGTCACACTAACTGACCGCTGTGAAATACTAAACACTGCCAAGGCAATGAGATTGGTCAAGTTATTTTTAACGTTATTTGATATAAAACCGTTCACGTCTAAATGGAATGAAATATATCGTTCCGTGTCGTAGGTTTTACAGATTAACCTCTATATTACATGTATAAAGCAAGGACCTTATATAGGTAGACACTAGTAGTATGTCCACTCGGAACCAACATGAACTTCGCGTCAAAATCATCTGGATAACAATTACTATAAGTTAGTGTTCTCACCTATTTTACTGCGAGTTATTTCCATTGAGTAGGTGACATAAAACAAGAGCAGTTGATTCAACAACAGCCAACCTGGTTCTGCCCGTTCAGTCAGTTCACGCTCAGATAACCAAACAGATTGTCTGAGGGTCTGAGGTTCACGCGTTCAACTCAACTCAAATAACAATTTACATACGACAGTGGCTTATTTGCACACGGCCTCGCCTTCCGTTTTTAGCGATTCGGTTTGTAATCCCGGATTGTAATCACGTGCCGATGAAATGTGTGTGTAGAAAAGAATAACCCGTGCAATGTCATACCATGGAGGTAAAAAAAAGATTACCTCCATGTCATACTATTAAATCATCATTGCATATAACCTTGCGATTGGGTCTCGTGATTGGGCGTTCAAACCCAATAATGAATGCCCTACAACAGATGTGTCGATGTCACAAATAGTGTAGTGCCATAGTAATCATGATTCATTAATTGGAGAATGCAACCACCCTTCGTATAGTATTATTCGTAGTACGTCCATGGTTCAAGTCTATATTCCCCGTCCAAGAATTGATTTCTTCTGTAATAATCAATTCACCAACAAACGTTTTATTCGCATTTATTGTCTAATTCACAGAGACACTTAATGGGAGCATGGTGGGAGGATGGAGTACTGTGATGTACGTCCATGATGGGAACAAGGTATAATCTTATTAGTTATGATGGCATGTGATTTTTTGATTTCGCTTACAATCGACCACAGTGCGTGAATATAGATAGACCGATTCTAATTGGTCCCCCTAGATCTCTGGATACCAAATAAAACGGGTATACTGGGAATGATTTCATCTCCGCTGACCTGGGATGTGTATTGGCATGATTGTCGAACGTTTTGGCCTCGGACGTTTCGGATACGTTTGTTTCGAACCGAGATTTCGGCCCTGGACGGTTTAGACGCTGCTTTTTTCAGGGAAGTTTGCGCATATCTCATATGTACACTTTAATATTACAGGAGAAAATAGACAATAAGCCAACATATAGATCTTGCTAGAAAGTTACAAAATCGTGAGTATTCAGTAGGTACTCGTAACAGTTCACTGAAAAAGGTCATCGGGCAGCACGTGTTCTAATTCTATGTAAATAAACAATGTACCCCGTATTTCACACGCGCTGTACACGTCACTATGAGTTTCATATCGAACAGGACGCGGCGTGACGACCACTGCCCTTTGACACCTAAGATCGAGATCGGACGATTCGCTTGACCGTTCTACACGTAAACGAAATGAAATGAATCACCTTGCTTTCAGACGTATAATAAGTGTTAGGTATTTGAAGTTTCTTTAAAATTGTTGAATGAGACGATAATAAAAGGTCAGATCTCAGACAAGTCGTGACGATAACAACAAGGTTCAGCTAATTTTGGGGTGGCTATGTTAATGAGTACTGTATAATAATAATAATAATAATAATAATAATAATAATAATAATAATAATAATAATGA